TAATATTATAGAAATAAAAATAAAAGATATTTATTAATAACAAAGTAAAAATTATTATTGTTTTTGACATTGTGAGTGGTGAATAATGTCGTTATATTCTTGTTTCTTACAAATTATTTTATCTAAACACGTAATATTCTTACAGAATAAATTTATTACTATTTTTTCCTTGAACATTTAATATACTTTAATTATAATTGAGGTAAATATAAATTGTATGTGTTTGCAGTAATATTTATATTTAGACGTTACAATATAATTTCATTGTTTTATGTTTTAGATTATACAAGATAATGAATCAATTGTTTTATAAAATATTAAGTTGTCCAAGTTGGATTTTTGTATGTAGTCTTATTCACTCCATATGCTTGTTTGCAGAGTACATTTAAATGACACAACATGTAATTCATATATCATAAAATTATGTGAAAAATATGTATTTTGTACATATGTTTTAAAACTAAATGAAAGTTTCATATTTTATAGAATATACTTATCGTGTTACAATATATCCCAAATGTAGGCAATCTTTTAAAACAATTTAATTTATTTTGAGTTTTTGTTAGAATATTATCAAAAATTGAAGTACTTCATGATATTCTTGAAACTTATAATTGAGATAAAATATATGAGAATTATAAAATAATTACACAATTCTTTCAAAGAGTAGATACAATGATGGACGAAAGTATTGACACAGTATAGTTTCTAGAATAAAAATACTTATAACTATAACAAAAATTGAATTACAGAATTCATTTTTTAAGAAACCTTTATTTTAGATATTCTAGTACATTATACAACAAGGGTTACTAAGTGATAAAGTGATATACAAATAAAAAAATACATTTTTTAAGAATTTTTACATGGAAGTATTAAAAAGTATAAAATGTATAAAAGTATTGGCGCATTGCAAAAAATACAATGCACTATTTCTTTAAGAAATACTTAATAGTTATTTTAGAATAAATAAAAATAATCATTCATAATCATTTTTCAATCAATTAAACCGTCATTTAAACAAGCAAAAAGTAAAAAAGGCAAATTTTTAAACAAAGGAATGGATAAAAGTGAAAAAATCAAAGAAATATTGTTAAATGTAAAATTATATAACATTGACAAATTATAATAAGATTTTACAAATTTTAAGAAAAATTTATTTTAATGTATTAAATATTTTAAAAAAGTATTTTCAAGTAATCAAGTGTCAAAATCTGGTTCAGAATAATTATACTTATAAGTTATTAGAGAGTGAAATGTAAAAAATAACACAGGATTAAATACGTAGATATTTTATTATAATTATGATAAAATATAAATGTGACAATCAGTTTAAGAATTGTTCGATATATTCAGAGATACAGAAAATCTTATGGTATGAAACAAGTTATACATAAATAAAACAAATAAAATGATGAAAAAGAATTTGCAAATTTTATGTAACAAGATACTGAGTTGTGAAAATAGGTACCATTTTCTGATTAAATAATTCGAATATACACAATAAGTCATAAGAAATAAAACACCTGAATATCTCTGGTAGAATTGAAAATAGGAGAAAATGTCAAAGAGGAAAGTTGTACTGTTCAAGGGGCCACATATGGTGATATAAACAGATCTTTTATTTGAAGTTATCTTTAGGGTTATTTGAAGGTTATGGATATTTTTTTAAATGGCACCAAATATTTCTAACTTCGTAGCATAGTAGTTGATGTCAAGATGAGTTCAATGACATAGGATACTATGACCTTGAAATGACCTTGGATTTAGAACTTTAAGATCAAGCAATGAAAGCTTTGAATTTGTACTTATTTTATTTGTCTTAAATTAAATGTTCAAAATGGTGCCCTTGATCAGTTATACAAGTATTTGAACATTCTGTAACTCTGAAGTGCTTTTTTCATCTTTTCTGATGAAATAGATGAACTAGCATATTATTGCTGTGAATGAAATTTGATAGTTCGAAAAACTAAACTTCACACATTAAAACTTCAGTTGATCTATCCTAAATGTGCTGCTCTAGGGCATTATTTTGGAGAATACACCTTTCCTCTGCCATTTTCTCCTATCTTCATTTCTAACAGAGATATTTAGGTGTTCTGTTTCTCGTGACTCACCCTGTACTTAAATGACATGAAACATTTCTGATTTGCTAATATAAAAGGAATGTATACAAATCTGCCATACAGTTTAAAAATAATACACTAATTAATCAGTGTTATATGGCTATATCTTGGAAATAGAAAATATCTATAATAATAGATTAATAAACGTATGCATTTGAATGTGTTGAAAAAAAATTTAAAGAACAGTACAAAGGAATTAGGTGGTTCATAGAATTGTTAGTTTTACTTTCATATAGCTTGTTTCAAGATTTCAATATAAAATCTGAAACTGAACTTAATTAAAATGTTAATAAACTGCAGAAACAAGTAAGGCAGTGCCTAATATCAAAAGTAAAATGAAGCGCAGATGTTAAATTCATTAAAAACTTCTATTCATATCTAAAGAATTAAACGAGGTTGTTAAATAAAAGGACTATGTTAATACTGTATATTTAGTTACATAAAATTACTTGAGTGTGCCAATACTTTTGTTTCTAAAAAACACTTAAAAAACGTATTTTTATTATTATTTTGATATCACTTTATTTATGTTACTGCTTTCTATTATACAATAAATTAAAATATGTTGAATAAAGATGTATTAAAAGCTTTGTAACTCAATTTTTTTTCTCATAGTTATAAGCATTTGTATTTATGCCA